GTAATAATAATGTTGTATTTTTTTTTTTTTCTCTGTAATAACCTATTTATGCTCTATTTAGGGTTTCCGGTTCACCCAGCTTCCTGATATGGGCATCGGTTCTCCCCCGCCTCTAATCCCCTCCAGACCAGGACCGCCACCTGGGACCTCAATACGATGGTAACGCACAATAACTCAAATACAGATGATCAAATAAAGTCAAATAAAGATATCTCCTCTGATGTAGCATATGCTGCAGGAAGAGATGGAAGACAGCACTCTTTAATCTAGTGACATTTTTTTTTTTATTGTTTTTGCTAACAAAGAATAGAACTAAAAGAAAATCTGAAAAATAACATGCTTTGCTGATGGAAATTAAAGCATGCAATCAAGACAGGAAAAAACCAAAAACGTCTTAATTTAAAAGGAGATTTTTTTTTTTTACAGTTTTCATTTTTAATATAATTCTATATTTAATAGAAATTTTTCTCTTGTTAATTTATTGTTCACTTTCTCTCCACTTCAGCACAAGCACTCACATTGACCAAAACAATACTGTTGTTAACATCCAGCAGACCAATAGAAGCGCGTCTTCTCTCCTCACTCCAGAGGAAGCCCGCCCTCAAAAGTGAAGAGAATTAAATCTGAAAATCAGATATTTGAAAAATTTAAAAAATGAAAATGTAAAATCGAAAAATTTGAATAAATATGAAATATTTAAAAAAAATGTAAAAAGTAAGACATCTCTTGAAAAAAAAATTTGAAAAACGTCAAAAGTACTTTCAAATTAAAAAAATACTTCATTTATAAAACATTTTCTTTACTTGCAACAATAATGGAACAAAATTCACTGCATACTCTTTCCCTTCAGTAAAAGATATAAGACCAATTACTTCATTATTGGAATGTTTGGTTTGCAAAGATGCTTCCTCATTAAGCCTAGACGACACCATGACTGATAACGTCTCTAGGTAAATGTATAGCTCTCTGTCTGAAACCATGAGTCAAGCTGATGCACGTTAACCAGACAGGAAACATCAGAATTGTAATCAGCATCGTTTGAAGCTAACTTCAGGTCCATCTGTTTGTCCCCTACACGTGATCCAACATGCTCTTCATTTCAATGCTGTTGCTGAGTGCTCTGTGTTGCTGGGCACTTTACCACTGCAGAGAGTGACTGACTGCTCAGAGGCTCAGGTTTCCTAGAAGGAACAGCTGCACCATCTAGTGGGCTACTGTATGTTTGGATAAACCCACAGAGAGAGCAAAGCTCCTGCTCACGGGAGTGACAGGGAGATGAGTGTTTGTGAGAATTAAATCATTGTTTTGTCTTTTTTTTAAGTTACAAAGTGATTTAAGATTTTCATTCATACTAAGGAAATAAGAGTGTTTTATAATGTTAACCTAAATCCTGGTTAGTTTACTGATTTATATGTCAGTTTTAGTGGATAATCACTTAGCTTTGCACACTCCAGCTCCTCTGTGTCACTCTGGGAGGAGGGGAGCAGCATGTTAATTCCTCTTTATTATGCACTATGCGGCATTAATGTGCCCTGTGCATTATGGCTCAGAGAGCCGTCAGTGACCTCATCTGTCCTCTGGTCCTTCACAGTGGTGCAGCATCACCAGTGCTTCTACAGTGCAGGGAACTGTGCTGTGATGTATGGGATGATTTATAGTCTCTGTCTGACAGCAGGAAGTGTGCTCTGCAAACAGAGCAGGTACAAAATTCAAGATCAATAGCAAGGCTATTCAAAAGTGATGCTAAGGTAGATGCTAAATTCCTTCAAATGTCAAGCAAAGTAAATATCAAAATATGTTAGCTGAAGGGATTTTTCTTCACTACAAAAATTGTCTAGAAATAAGTCAACATTTCTTAAATTAAATGAAGTTACCCTTAATTTGAGTAGGTAAATAGGATAATTTGCCAATTTAGTGAGTATTTTTACTCTTTAAATAAGGTAGTAAGATAATATGCATTTGAAATAAGACAATGCAATTGTTTTTATTTTAAATGTAAATTGTCTTGTTCCATTGGCAAAGTGTCTCACAAATACAAGAAGAAAGGACTTATCTAGATTTATATTTTTCCAGTAGTAATATTTACCTTTTCCTACACCATGTGCATCAACAGGACTTATATGATTCTTGATGTTTCTGATCTTCTGGTCATTTTTCTTTATAAAACATGCATTTTCTTTTTATTTATAATGAATGGAAAGAGAACAACCTAAAACATGCTATATAATCAAGGAATGTAATCTTAGATTTCTAAAAGTTAAAGATTTTTTTTATTAAAGCAACACTTTGTAAGTTTTGACCCACTTATTAGCTTTTTATGAGAAATAAAATTTATATTTCAGGTTAATATTCATCACTC